ATCGAGTGGCTTGCCTAACAATGCAACCCGATCCATCAACCGCCGGACTTCGCTTAGATGATCTGTTACATTGGCACTCTGGCCGAGACGAAGGCGCCGTAGCTTGGCTAGCTCCTCTGCATACTGAAGTAAGCTTTTCCAACATATCGCTGTTTCAAGTGCTCCAGAATTCGAAAGGGTGTTCGCTCATGTTTCACAGATTTCACAATCTCATCGGTCATTGTATCATACAGCAGCTCTTAAGCACGACTCGGCTCCATTTTCCACGTATCATGTTCACTCTCTTTCGCTTCCTGGTCTGGCTGAGATACTTCCTCTTTACAATATTTCCACAGGCCTTTCCGTTCGACTTTCAGAGTTATTCTTTCTAGCCATACCTCAAAACTTTTGCCATCAAATGGCGGGTGCACCTTCTTCTCTTCCTTGTCCTTCGCCTCACGCTTGTTGTCTGCCATAGTGCCGTCTACCACGGTATGTTATTTGGTTGTGTCCAGGCCAGCACACGTACTCGCTGTCCTCGCTGATACGCGCGTAGATACTCAGCAACAACGACTTGTCTGCCCGATTGAGATTCCCACACACGCGGAGTCGATCCTTCACTTAATCCGAACGGAGAGCGACGAACTGTGAGAACGTATCGCTCTGAAGTTGGGCTCATAACCAGATAAACCACACGAAGTGAGGTAGAGCGCGAAATCACCAAGTTCTCAAACAGCAATGAGCACTAGTGAGGGCCTTCGTATATTTCGTAATGATCGTTAGATTTTCTCTCTTCTGTCTCACTTAGTCTTGCACCAACCTGTCCCAAGTTTGGGTCTCGCACACTAACACAATATTCGTTTCTGCGCCAAGTCAAGTTCAGTAATCCCCAACATTTACGACCGTACTCTTGCTCAGAAGGAACAGTTGTTTGTTGACAACTTGGAGGCGGATCGGTGTGTGCTTCTCGCGTCACACCGCATCCCTCTTAAGGACTTCACTACTTGTGGTAACAAGCCCGAGAACCGGGGTGGTCTCTATCCTCTTTGGGGCTACCCCTGGGTTCTCCCCGAGAACTGTCCCAGCTGGAGTTCTTGTGAGGACATGTTCTAGGCTTGGGTGGAGTCCCTCAAGTACTCACCCACGGAATTACGGGAGCTCCATGAAGATCAGCTGCTGTCCCGCATCCTGGACCAGCGTGATCTTCGTGTTCGGTTTGTCCACATGGTCAGCAAGCGCATGCTGCCAAGGGGCATCCTCAAGCGCGTCTTCTAGCGCTCACGATGAGCGGGGGTACGGAGTGTCGTCAAAGTCCGTACCCCGGTGAGCGGGATGCCGCTCTCTCGCATCAGGATCTGGTAGTATCCGTCTACCAGATCCAGCGCACTGTACAGTACGCTCCGGCCGTGTTGTTTAACAACACATCCTTTCGTGGGATTGGTGTTTGGGCCGGCACTTTTGCGTTGTTCAGCTTGTTATAAGCGTGAACTAGACGCCACTTTCCGTTCGGCTTCCGAACGCAGAAAGTTGGCGTCGAGTGCGGGGACTTCGACTCCCGCACCATGCCTGCCTTCGCTTTCGCAGCGAAGAAGGCATCAATGACATCGCACTGTTCGCGCGGGAGATGCCATTGCCTCGTGACGCAGTACTTTGTGCCAGGCACGAGATCAATCTCATGCCGTACGCCTCGATCTGGTGGGAGTTGGGTCGGTGGGTGTTTGTTCACCACGTCCACATACTCCGTCACCAAAGGATACACCGGATCCTTGGGGTTCTTAAGGATCTCAGAACCCAAACACGTCCGACGCTGCTTGTTCAGGTCTTCCAGGACGTCCTCGTCCAAGACAGAGGAGGAATTCAGCTCCTCCCGAGTGGTCTCAGGTCTTATGAGCACCATCTCGGCAACCTTTCCAGCCTTGAGGTTGGCCAGGAAAGACTCGGCCGTCATTTTCTCGAGGTTCAGTATCTCTGCAACCTCTGGCAGCGGTTTCAAGTGGACACCAGACGCCTTGACGGGTAAACCGGACTCGCCATCAAAGATGTGATAACACTCTTCCACCGGCCTTGTCGGAGGAGCCCGGGCCCTGGACTTCGAGTCGCTTGAAGCGACGTCGATCGGAACGAAGCTCGGATCCGACTTGAGGCGGCGGCGGCGGCGTCGTCGACCGTGGCGTGGAGCTTTGTTACCCACGTCTGGGAATGTCGGAGCGCCGACATCCGAGGCACTCGTGGTCTCGTGTAGTACACACAGGAAGCGTGTTCGACGCTTTCCTCTTCAGGTAAGGTCTGGGCGACCGCGTGTAGCACTATGCTCCCACATAGGAAGCGTGGCCGACGTCTTCGTCTTCAGTTAAGGTCTGGGCGACCGTGTGTGGAACTCTATTACCCACCTTGAACACGCTATTGTCTGTTCGTGACAGCTGCAGCTGTCTGCGGAACTAAGCTACCCGCTTGTGGACCTAAGTTACCCACTTGGTCAGCGCCTCCTCTGGGCGCTGCCACCATCAAAGCATCCTCGGAGTCGGCATATACGTCGACGACTCCCAAGCATCTGCTGGATGCTCTGGTACCCTGGCAACCCTTGCGAACGCCCCGGGCACTGACAGAGGTGGGAACATGAATCACCAATGCTCTGTCGGACTTCTCAGGGCGGCTAACACCAATGGCCTTGCCTCGCTAGTCGATCCAGGGCTCGTGCTCTTCAAGCCAGGGCATGTCCAGGATCATATCGTACGGATCCATGTCAAGAACAGTAAACTGTTCGAGGCTGTCAAAGTCTTCAAACTTGACGGCCAAATCCACTTGGACGTTGGAGACAGTGACGAACTTCCCGTCGGCCAGTCGCACTGACACCGTCCCGTTGTCCTTGCTTTCTCACAAAGCATCGAACAACTTGTTGCTATTACGAGCAGCTGTCTGGCGGCGTGCAAAATTCTTCGACGCCCCAGAATCGATCAAGATTCTAAAGGGATGATCGTATCCCCGTACACATCCGTGTACTACGAGCAACCCGCCGCTACTCTTCGCCGATTCGAGAGTGCGAAGACTCTCAGGGGCTAAGTCCCCATGGTTCGCGCCACCCGCGCACCCTCACGAAGACTTAGTTCTTCCCCAGTAGGGCGCCCCGCCCCTACTGGTTCCCTGCGTTCCCCTGTCCCCGGGATCCTGGCTTCTGCCAGCGACCCTTGAGGACGGGCTTGGGGAAAGACCGTCTTCGGAGTCTTTCCGCGGGACAGTCGCGCTTAAAGTGGCCCATCTTCCCGCAGCCGAAGCAGCGGATGTCACGCTGCTCGGCGGACCCGAGTTCCATGGGAACTGACCCGCTAGGGCTCGTTCGACCGGGAGTCGACAAAGAACTCCCAGGCCATGCTGAGGCCGGCGTACGCGCCTGGCGAGGACTGTATTCTTCCTGAAGGGCCACTTGAATCGCCTCTTCAAGGGTATTTGACTACACCAGGAACAGCTGAGTGCGCGCTGGGCCCACTCGAAGGCCGTCCATGAACACTGTCATCTTGATGTGCTCATTGAGTGGGTTTCCCACTTGGGACGCCGTGAGCTCCCGTATTACTTGGGCGTACTCATGCAACTCACGCCTCCCTTGCTTGCACGAGAGGAAGCGCGAGCGCTGGCGGTACTCGTAGCTCGCCGGGAGGAACGCGGCTCGGAGCTGCTCACACAGCTGAGCCCAGGATGTGAAACATCCAGAAGATGTTGCCTCCCGAGTGTACACCCAACTCTTAGCACGACCGCTAAGGTTGGAGAGTGCAAAAGCAACACGAAATTGCTCGGTCGAGATCAGAGCCGCTTTTATCGCGAGCTCTACTTCTCGGACCCAGAAGTGAAGGCTCTCACCTTCCTTCCCTTCATACGGCTTAACCTTTAGTCGTATTGGCTTCGAGTGAGGCGGATTTGCTTCCGCCGCCAGAGCCTGCAGGTTTTCCCGCACATGCGCGATGAGCCCCAGCTCGTACGCGTCAAACGCATTGACGCGCTCGAGCTGCTCGGCCGGTGTTGACACCACCAGGCTCTGCAGGGCCTCCATTCCGAAGATGCCTGCCATCTTCCGAACCGACTCGAACTGTGAGTCGTTCATATGGGAGAAGTCGTTCCTATCCATGGCAACGAACTTCGGAGAGGTTCAGGTAGTCTACCCGCGGTGGCGTACGCGTGCTACGAGGTGTGACGGGGTCACACAGCACCTTGCGCTAGAGGAAGTTGGCCTCCGAGAGTATACAAACTCTCAGTGAGCGGCAGTTCACAGGTCCCCTTTTATCGAAAGGGGGCGAGGTGACCTGTTTAAGGTAGAATGTAAACTGAGTATATTTATAGGTAGATAAAGATTGGGGTAAATACAAACTATAAGTCACCTATAGAAAAGCAATGTCATCAGCCAATGGTTGGCTTTGGATGACTTTGGTACCTTGTACCAAATATCCCGAAGTATGAGTGTCATACTTTTGAAGTGTGACGTGTCACACTTCATGTAGCTAGGGGTACACTTAGGGCTACGTATCCCGTTACATAACGGGTTCGATGGGGTTTGAGCGCAACAACCCTCTCCTTCGTGGGGCCCTCAATAAACTAGGTGTCTTAACCACCTGAGCTGTCAGCGCTTGCAAAAACATAGTGAGCCATCGAATACAACGCTAATTCCCATAGACCGCGCTCTGTACATGTAATATTAATAGTACTGTAGACGGCGATTTATTCCACGTTTTATTTTTTATTCATGACCGGTACGGTACCGGTATTGCAGCATTGCCGATTCTTAGATTGCGAGCCCAGTGAGCTACTATTAATAAGTCGCGTTTCTATTTTCGACGGTGCTAAATCGTTCTTGTCGCATGAAGAAGGGGTGAGTTCGAATAAAACATTCCAATTCACAATTTGATTTATATAATGAGTCATGTCATCCATTTTTTTTCCTTGAGTTAAAGTTTTATGTTGCTTGATCCAGCTGTCGCATAGGCTCCGAGTCAAAGGGTGCGTCATCGAATCCGAACGCTCATTCTTCAATCGATCAAGTCCGAAGTAGATGTGGAGCCGTCTTGTCGCCAATTCCGCGCGCATCAGCGCAGCACGCTCGTCCCTCCTGCTGAGCCAGCAGGGTCGCTTCGTGAGTACACGTCGTGTGCCATCCGAGGAGACGCTTTCTGCATTGAAGGCACTGTTAGGCGATCGCCTTTCAACCGCATCATCCGTTCTTGAGGTGCGTCAATTGCTCGATTCTTCCACTTGCAGACAAACGTGTGCTCTAATCTAACACGCTGCCGTATATTTCTCCTGCAGCAACACGGGACGGACGAATCTTATCACGCGGTGGCTCCGCCTGACGCTGTCGCCTTCGTGGAGTCCACAGAAGAAGTGGCCGAGGTCGTCAAGATCTGCGCAGCTGCTGGCACGCCTGTCATTCCCTTCGGCGCGGGATCCTCGCTGGAAGGCCATATTTCCGCAACTGAGGGTGGCGTGTCAATTGACCTTACGGGCATGAACAACATCCTGAGCGTCGAGCCCGAGAACATGAGCTGCAAGGTACAGGCAGGTGTCACCCGCGAGCAACTCAACGTGGATCTCCGTGCCACAGGTCTCATGTTTCCTGTGGATCCCGGTGCCAACGCCACTCTTGGTGGCATGATCTCTACTAACGCCTCAGGTACCACCACGGTGCGCTACGGCAACATGAAGACCAACGTCATGTCCCTGACGGCAGTCATGGCTGACGGACGCATCATTAAGACGGGTTCCAAGACCCGCAAGTCTTCAGCTGGCTACGATCTTACCCGTCTACTTATCGGCTCAGAGGGCACACTCGGTATTGTCACAGAGGCTGAGCTTCGTCTGTTTGGAGTCCCTGAGGCGGAGAAGACGATGATCTGCCAGTTTGACTCGATCCAGAACGCTGTCGACACGTGCGCGGCAGTCATGCAGATGGGTATCCCTGTGGCTCGCATGGAGTTGATGGACGAGAACGCTGTGGAGGCTATTAACAAGTATTCGAAGCTACAGACCCCAGTGCGGCCATCTCTACTCATTGAGCACCACGGCTCACCCGGCGAGGTGGAGGAACAGAGCGCAGTTGTGGTGGAGCTGGCCAACGACTTCGAGGCGAAAGACATTGAGCTTGCTACCAGTCCTGAGGAGCGGAAGAAGCTCTGGAGTGGACGTCACGCGGCGTGGTACGCTACGATGAGCCAGATGCCGGGTAGCCGCGGTCTGTCCACGGACGTCGCCGTGCCGTTTTCTCGTCTGACCGACGTCATCGTTGAGACGCAGACAGACCTGAAGGAGTCCGGCCTATTCGGTACTATCGTCGGACACGTCGGTGACGGTAATTTCCACGTTATGCTGCCGTTCTTCCAGGACGACGCCGAGCTCATGCGGAAGGTGCGTGACTTCTCCGATCGCCTTGTAAATCGTGCGATCGAGTACGAAGGCACGTGTACAGGTGAGCATGGTGTTGGCAACGGCAAGATGGGCTACTTGTCGAAGGAACATGGCGACAGTGTGGGTGTGATGCACACGATTAAGAAGGCGTTGGACCCCAAGAACATTATGAACCCCGGCAAGATTTTTTACGGTGATGCTAAGCACTAAGATAGCTGGATAGGTGGTACGCTCGGGCAGCTTTGGGATGCGGTGGCGCATGCGCTTTGACTTGTAAAGAGAGCGCTAGAGCTCTATCCGTACTAAAGTAGTAATGTTAAGCGCGTGGCCGCGGCAGTGTGGCCGATGCAAGCACGTTCTTACTGTTGACAACCTTGTCGCGTTTGCGCAAAAAGCATCTTCTGAGAAATGAGAGCTTCAACAACCATCTCATTCAGTCTTCATGTGGCGGCATTTCGTACCGGTGTCGAGGTCTGCATTGGTGCTGCCGCGCCATATTCAAGCACACGGGGGTGCAGTGTGCAACCGCCAGCAGAGCACACGCCGTGCTGCGTCACCTCAGACTATCTTTGCGTTAAAGGAGCTGCTGGGAGACCGTCTGTCGACAGCTCGTTCCGTGCTAGAGGCGAGTTTCTCCTCAGTCGCTGGCGTGCAATGTGAACTGAGCTTATTATACCAAACACATGTGTGGGAATCTCTTTAACTTTAGCAACACGGCACAGACGAATCCTATCATGACGTCGCTCCCCCCGACGCCGTCGCTTTCGTGGAATCCACAGAGGAGGTGGTGGAGGTGATCAAAATTTGTGCAGCGAACCGCACGCCGATCATCCCGTTTGGTGCTGGTACTTCGATCGAGGGGCATATCTCAGCTGTTGCTGGTGGGGTGTCAATCGATTTGTCGGGATTCTCAAGGTGCGACGAAAGTGATAGTCTTTGAAAGTGAAGTAAGGCTAACGTATGAGTACAGCTCGACCGGCTGAGTATGAGCGTCAAGGTGGAAGCCGGCGTCACGCGAGAACAGCTGAACGCCGACCTGCGTGCCACAGGTCTCATGTTTCCTGTGGATCCTGGGGCCAATGCCACGATTGGAGGAATGGCTGCAACCAACGCCTCCGGAACGACGACAGTCAAGTAAGTGGCAAGCTAGAAGGGGAGGGACCATGCAAAAGTCTGAAATCAACGTGTTGTGTTTGTAGATATGGTAACATGAAGACGAACGTGCTGTCTTTGACTGCAGTCATGGCCGACGGACGCATCATCAAGACAGGATCCAAGTGTGTACTGAAGTTACAGCATGCGATCAACCCACTTATTTTTTATTTATTTTTTGCTGTACGCAGAGCGCGGAAATCTTCAGCTGGATACGATCTCACACGTCTTTTAATCGGTGCTGAAGGCACATTGGCAATTGTAACCGAGGTCGATAATTATTGTCTTTGTATGTTTTTCCTTCGAGCGACTAAAAGGTTTATCTTGCTTGTAATAGGTGGAACTTCGACTCAGTGGTGTTCCTGAGGCTGAGAAGGCTATGATCTGCTCGTTTGATACGATGAAGGACGCAATCGACACGTGCACTACTGTCATGCAGGTGGGGGTCCCTGTGGCTCGCATGGAAATGATGGATGAGAATGTCGTCGCTGCGGCGAACAAATACTCGAACCAGAATAATCCGCTGCGTCCTTCGCTGATCATTGAGCATCATGGCTCAGAAAGCGAATTAGAGCAGCAGAGTAATGCCGTACGAGAGATCGCGCGGAACTTTGGCGCAATGGGTATCGAAGTAGCCTCGACTGTAGAAGATCGGAAACGGCTCTGGAATGGCAGACACTCTCTATGGCACGCTGTTTTGGTACGGATTGAAATTAAGGAGAGATAAAGGACTTTGGAAGCCTCGCTAACGCTCACTTGATACAGAGCCAAGTTCCTGGGAGCCGTGGATTCTCTGCTGACGTGGCCGTACCACTGTCGAAGCTTGCAGATGCTGTCGTTGAGACCCAGCACGACTTGAAGAACTCGGGTCTCTTTGGAACCATTGTTGGGTAAGTTTGTAGGGACTATCAACCCGGGTAGCTATAATAGCATGTGTCGTTCTCATATCGTTTGGACTGCTGTCTACGGACACGTCGGCGACGGGAATTTTCACGTCTTGATTCCCTTTACCGACGACAACAAAGAACATCTCGGTAGAATGAAAGCGTTTTCGCATCGCCTGGTGAAACGAGCGTTGGCTTGCGGTGGGACTTGCACTGGTGAACATGGCATTGGCCTCGGCAAGATGGATTACCTGCCGATGGAGCATTTGATTTCATGTACGCAATCAAGAAGGCTTTGGATCCGCTAGACATCATGAACCCAGGCAAGATTTTCTACGCGAAAACTCGCAGCTACTAAAGTAGAAATACCAAAACTGATTCATGTCTATATCTGTCAACGTCTGCTACGTCCTACCATCATGCCCATTAATTATTAAGTTGATGCGCTTCAAGTACAGGAACAGTCTTACCGATACAAGATGGTGTGATGATGTTACCTATCGGTAAGTACGATACATGCACATAAACGTCTGATACTAAACCATTTATCGATGTGGCGCCAAGTGACCTCCGCTGCTTCACGGCTCTCTCTTCATGCATCGGCCTCTCCGATTCGATCGCTGAGCACGCGACGCACGGCGTCGCCTGCGACTATTTCGGCTTTGAAAGGGCTACTGGGAGATCGCCTGTCAACGTCTCGTTCAGTGCTCGAGGTGAGTACAAGATGTCGTTAGTGCGCGTACACTGAATTGACGCGTCTGATGCTTTCGGTCTGTAGCAACACGGCACTGACGAGTCGTATCACAAAGTCTCCCCACCGGATGCTGTCGCTTTCGTGGAGTCGACCGAAGAGGTCTCGGAAGTGATCAAAATTTGTGCCGCTGCTGGGACTCCTGTCATCCCGTTTGGCGCTGGTTCGTCTCTTGAGGGACACATTTCCGCTACGTATGGAGGTGTCTCTATCGACCTGACTGGAATGAACAAGATTCTCAAGGTGGGGTAGCTGTTACAACGATCTTGAAGGTGGTTCATCGATAGTAATCAGAAATTCTTGCTGTGTTTGTCTTAGGTAGAACCGGAAAATATGAGTTGCCGAGTGCAGGCTGGTGTGACGCGAGAGTTGCTGAACACGGATCTGCGAGCCACCGGCTTGTTTTTCCCAGTGGATCCAGGTGCTAACGCCAGTATCGGAGGCATGATCAACACGAATGCGTCTGGCACGACCACCGTTCGGTACGAGCTACGCTGCTTTGCTTGAGATTGCTGTAGCTAATGTGCTGATTGTAGTTACGGCAACATGAAGACAAATGTGATGGCTCTCACTGCTGTCATGGCCGATGGAAGAATCATCAAGACCGGATCGAAGACGCGGAAATCCTCGGCTGGATACGACCTCATGCGGTTGATCATCGGCTCGGAAGGAACTCTCGCTGTGGTTACTGAGGTAAGTTTCGGTTGATTCTGTATTATTTCAAAGACCTTTTTAACGCTGTATGACTTCAGGCCGAACTGCGTCTCTTTGGCAACCCTGAGGCGGAGAAGACAATGATTTGCTCATTCAACACGATGAAAGACGCGGTGGAGACGTGTGCGGTAGTCATGCAAATGGGTATACCAGTGGCACGTATGGAGTTGATGGACGAGAACGCGGTGGAGGCGATCAACAAGTACTCGAAGCTGGACAACCCCGTGCGTCCATCTCTGATTATCGAGCACCACGGCTCTAATGGAGAAGTGGAGGAACAGAGTGCTATTGTAGTGGAGATTGCCAATGATTTTGAAGCGAAGGATATTGAACTAGCTACGAGTGCTGAGGATCGCAAGAAGCTTTGGAGTGGACGTCACACTGCGTGGTGGGCTACGTTGGTACGCCGTTGTCTGCTTTCGTGCTTAAAACTCTAAAACGGTCCATAGCTAATGTGCTAAACTGCGTGAAACAGAGTCGAATGCCAGGAAGCCGTGGGCTTGTCACGGACGTTGCGGTGCCACCGTCGAAGTTGGCGAATATCATTGTCGAGACTCAAGCTGATCTTAAGGAGACCGGGTTGTTTGGAGCCATTGTCGGACACGTCGGCGACGGCAACTTTCATGTTATGATGCCATTTTACCAGGACAAACCTGAGCTCATGACCAAGGTGAAGAGCTTCTCGAATCGCCTTGTGGAACGTGCGCTGGCTTACGAGGGAACATGCACTGGCGAGCATGGCGTCGGCCTCGGAAAGATGAAATACTTGTCCATTGAGCACCGCGACAGTTTGGATGTGATGCACACCATTAAGAAGGCCTTGGATCCCAAAGACATCATGAATCCGGGCAAGATGTTCTATGGCACAGCGCAGAGCTAGATAAAGGACTAATTTTTGCAGCTCACTTCAACTTGGACTAAAATATGTGAAAAGGACTATTTCTCCTTTGTTCACTAGACACATTTTCTTAATTCAAATAAAAAACTGAGCGAGATGCCGGCGATGGAAGTGGGGGCGCCTGCGGCGAATGCAGCAGCGACAGCCGCTTCCCGTGCCCACGCAGAGCTACCTGGTCATGTGAGGCAATTACTTGGAGCTTCTTCTCGCTTTAATATTCCTCTGGAGCTCAAGATATTGAGTGCACTGGTGATGCTCTTCCTCTTCCTGTTGTTTCTCATCATGGTTCTGTGGGACCGCTATGGCAAGGAGATTGGGGAGCTCTACACATCACCCATGGGCACTACAGCTCAAGGACAAAACGCCAGTGGTAGGTTGCCAATTGTACTTTTTACTGTTAGGTTATTTTACCAGGTTGCTTGTTTGCCAGACGTCAAGGTGCACGATGTCGCGGACGAGTTTTCCATCTACCAGAAACTGCCCACCTTCTTCTACGAGTATATGCCCAGACGGAAGAAACGAGACTAGCTCAAACACAATTTAATGTTAAGCAGACTTGCTGGTGGAGCTAGATTCGTCGACAGCGACGTCTGTGTCTACCGTGTCGTTCTCATTTTGATCCTTCTCACCTGATGCCACCTTCGAATACTGAGGCAGCCCTGTGGTCTCTACCGGCAGTGAGTAAATGTAGACTCCAAACCCCACGAAGCAAACAGCAGCCACTGTGTACAGCGTGATCGGTTGGCCGAATAGCACAGCACTTAGCAACGGTAGGAAGACCAACTCCAATGCACTGGCAATGGCCTTGCGGATCGAGTCTAGCTGCTTAAGGAAGAGACTCGTTACCACGCCAATGAACGACATAATAAGCACCATGGGCAGCACATAAGGCGACAACAGGACACTGAAGTTGGCAATCGTCAGAGCTTCCTGAGCCGTCTGACCAGTCAATCCCAGTGCGAGCATCCCCATCGTGCAGACAATAGAGTCGATGTACATGAAGACGTTCTGTAGGTTCACCGGGATCGTAGCTTGCTTCTTAAGAAGAAGTTCATTGTACACACCAGCGAATGTGCTGCTGAGCATCTGTACCATCAGTAGCCCATAGGCCATGAGTGTCGGAGCATTGCTGTGGGCACCCAACTTGGCAGAACCGTTGTGCTCCTGCGAGCCCAGAGTCTTAATAGCGCATCCCACCGTCGTGACACCCAACGAGACCCACTGATTGCGGTTCAGTCTTTTGGAGAACATCGCTTGATGCAGGACACCCGTGATCACGAGCCGGAACTGGAGCAACAGGAAGTAGGTGGCAGCGTCAAATGCACGCAGGTTGATGTAAGACAGCACGTCGTAGACCACGTAGAGTCCGGATGGGATAAAGTAAAGCAGGAATAGTTGACGGTGTTCCTGCGCCTGGGACAGCATGAACCGGATGCGTGTAGTAAGCGTCTCCGTCACTTGAGCGTCCGACGTCAGGTACATGTAGCTCGCTATTACCAGTTTGAGTAGCGATTGTATCACGACAGCGCAGGCAGAATTGAAGCGCACACTCTCTCGCTTGGCTAGCTCGTTCAGAAGCCCGTAGCTCACCCATAGCCCCATGTACGTGACGAAGATACCCCGTTGGGTCTTGGTCTCGAGACCCAGCGGCGCCGTCATCGTAGTTGTTGCAGGAACGTTGCGATTGTGGCAATGAACTGAGCTGGGGGAGGTGGCCAGACGTTACAAATTGTGGGATCATTTGGAAAAGTGGGTACAGTACAAAAATTGAGTAGCGAAACAGATGTGCAAGTTGCAGTGGCAACAAAGAAATTGTTCTTTTGATAATTCTGTTGCAACCTACCCAGATAGCATTTTGACGATACTGGAGGACGATGCAAGCTCTGCAGGTGTCTTGCCGGCTTTATTTCGCATTGTTGCAGTGGCACCAGCATCCAGTAGCACTTTTACGATGGAGTTAAATCCGCCACGAGCAGCGAGGTGGAGCGCCGTGTTGCCTTCAACATTGACGTGGTTGGGGTTCGCCTCGTTGTCCAGAAGCTTCTCGACGACGGAGATATGACCAGCTGACACGGCTTTCATGAGTGGAGACACTTCTTGCGCTGTGGTGACGTTGACCTTGGCTCCAGCATTTAGAAGCAGCAAGATCGGGTTCAGAATGCCACGAGCTGCAGCAAAGTGGAGCGGCGTGTTACCAGCGTCGTCCTTGGGTTCGATACTGACGCCGAGCTGGATCAGACGTTCGACGATTGGCAACCGCGAGTGGTTGAGAGCGTGGTGCAGAGGACGAAGGTCGCCGAAGCTAGTGACTTCAAGGTCGGCGCCATGCTCTGCCAGGTAGTCCACAACCTCCAAGTACCCATTTCGAGCAGCCCAAATCAGCGGTGTACACCCGTAAGGATCCTTCGCATTCACATTAAGCGGCGCAGGTGTCTTGCCGTCTGCACTCTCTAGTGGCTCCACAAGCGTCTTCAGGAGCTGAAGATTCCCCACAGCAGCCATCTTGAAGGGGTTTGTATCCACATCGGGGATTTCAAACTTCGGGGCTGGAGGCATGCCTGACGTTCGCGTTGCCTTCGTTAATGACTCTTCGCGATAGAGCTTGTAAAAATAGTGGCGGTTGTTGGCATTTTACATTTATTATACTCTGCCATCATTGCTAGTTTGCTTTTCATCGAGAGGCAACAAACGATTCGGCGCTCTCTGTATGGCTGTCAATGCAACAACCGTGTGAAGTGATATATGCGATTTCATTTGCATCCTCATAGCTGTTCGCTGTTGCACCCGTTTCAGTCGGTAACTATGAATCCGAGTGAAAACCTCTTCCGCGGCATCATCAAAGACATGGAAAGTGTATTGCGCTGGATCGATGTTGCATCGGCAACGATCCGACGCCATTTGATTGCAACACACGTCAAACCGTCCGTGGCAAATCTGGAGTTCCTTCCACGTGAACGCCACTCGCAGTAGCGCCTCAATGAATTGAGACAGCGTCAGTTCTCGAGGTTCGCTACTTGTGGTATTGTTTGATGCAGTTGCGGAAGGCCTAGTTGCACTTTCGTTCTCGTTACTGTCGAATGTTGCCATGGGGAGACAAGAGAGAAAAATGCGAACAGCTCGAACTTCATCGACCCCAGCGGGGCCACCCGCAGAAACCTCATCATTAGCATTTGTGTCAATGTTTGCACCAGTGGCGACACCTCTCGATGCAATCAGGTTGATAGCTCGCAGAGTGGAGAGGAACTGTGTACACGCGATACCACTTCCATGTGTCCGTTGTCGCTGTTGACTCTTGGTTCTGTCATTGCCACCACGCAGATTGACTCCAGCGCTGATAAGTTCATCGAAGAAGTTTGCCAAGTTGTTCTTGTGTGTCTCTAGAATAGCATGAAGTCTCCGACGGACCCCAACACTGAGTGCTCTTGCAATTATCCCAGGTTTGTGAAGGAAAATAGTTCGAAAGTGATCGACATCTTGAATTTGCGCAAATACACCAAAGTGTTCGTGGACGAGTGTTTTCACTGCTTCCGACATTTCGATGCCGTCGTTGATAGTCATTTTCAAGCGACTAGGATCTGACGAATGGGTACACATCATCCTGGCGACGTTAATTAAAAAGTCAATCAAGCTTTCTCGTTTCAGCGGAGAGTCTGTAACACCAAATCTCGTCTCGTCAACACATTGCACATTCAAGTCCTCTAGCAAACGCAGTCGACTTGGGATTTCAAACAGCCCATCTCCCATGATTACCATTCCAGGCCCAGTGCGCCGCTCCGAGGCAACGGCATAAGCTGCATTGCCAGCATAGTAACGAAAGAACCACAGCAACATGCGATATGCTTTTCTCAAAATCTCACGTATTCGTTTGCGATCCACAGCGTCCCGCACAATTTTCTCTGCTTCGCTAAGCTTCCAATGGACTGAGAAAAGCTCGTCGTAACCAGGTCCTGACAAGAAGCCCAAGCCAGTTAGCAAATACTCATTATGGTGTGCATTCATCTCTTGTCGCGAGATGCTGCTCCATCTAGGAGGGGAGTTGTCTTCGCTGTTGATATCTTCACTATCTTCATCGTTTACTTCTCTGCTGCAGGTTTCGAGTTTTTCAGGATTTTTTACTTTCATTGCATCTTCAAACTCCTCGACCTCATTTTTGGCGAACGAAAAGACTTGACGAGAGTGAAAATCGTAGAGATATTGTTGAAATTTCCTTCGTGTAGCTTTGCGGGGTGCAATGCTAGGGATAATTGTCGCCTCGGACGTCCTTCTTGGTTGAACAATCGCTTGACTAAGCTGCTCTTGCTTCTGTCGACCTGATTGATCAATGCTCACAGATGGGAACATTTCTGCTGATCGCGTAAATCCCCCGGTAATCAATGCATCCTTGCGTCTGGCAACCTTCTTCGGTGTCACTGCTGCAACCGATTGGGGTCGAGACAAGCTGTGCCCAGAGCTCGATCCTGTTTTTCGAAATGCAGCTTGCATCGCCTTGTTAAACTTCGACTGGTTGGAGTCATGACGAGATACAGCCACCGTTTGAAGCGGACGGTTGAGCTTCGAGCTGGCGTGAGGCAATCGAACAGGTTTTCGTGACTTTCGCCAAGCCTCGTACGACGCTTCCTCGCGGTCCAGAATTTCTCGAATCGTATGGCTTGAAGGTGCCGACGTCTGGACATAAGGATTCGCCACAAAGCTCGCCTCCATCGTCACTATTCCGATTGATAGCACGGAAACAGCTCATTTGCTGGCTTGGCCGCTAAAAATATTTTCCGAATCAGTTTTAGTATTTTACTGTCTTGGAGACATCGTCAGCACGAACGTATCTCCTAAACTGCGAAGGGAGCAAGTACTGATGAACTTGAGCATATCACGCATATCTTGAAGAAACTTGGGGCCTTCGGCAAATGGTGAAGTAGAAATCCTTGGTAATAACTCGTCGTCGTCTAAATCTAGCATGTACGGACAGATCTCCGATGAGACTAGTGTGGAGTAATATGGTCCGACCGTAATTTCAAAGGGTTTGTCCTCCTCAAGACAGCATAACAGAGTATGGAGTGGATGTGGCGACACTCCTGCGAATCTCAAGGGTACTAATGGCAATCTAGCATCAGGCTCGAACTCGACGCAGCGAAAGATGTCTGCAACAGGATAGTAGCCGATTCCTCTCGTGCGAGGCAGCTTCACCCCGTTGTCAGTCTCCATGGTATTCCATCTACCTGCCACGTATTGCTGCACGCTGTACACTGCCTCACTGCTCATAAGTGTCTGTAAAATGTCCATTGATATTGGACGACTGATCCCACGTTCGTCGTCGTATCCACCCGCAATTCCCACTCGAGTGACCGCAGAATGTACCAAACTCTCCCATTTCTTCAAAATAAAAGCCATTTGATATATCGCGTCCAAGTGAGCCACTGCCACAATCTCATCGCTTATAAGCAGCACAATGGAGCACGTGGTAGCGTCGTCCGAAGCTACCAGGTCCACTTGATGCGCTGCCGGCGCCACGAACGCCATCTCCTCCGCCAGAATGTGAACACTCGTCAGTCCACAGTCACGCGTTACCACCGTGACCGGTTCGTTCAGAATCGCCTGACGACGTTGTGTCAGCTCTTGGTTGGTGCTTAACGCCTCTGTCACTGCCGCCGCGTCCTCGATGCCTTCGTACCCAAGCAGCACCATCCGGATAATTTTGTGTCTATCAGTAACGCTAACACAAAATAAGTTGCTCAAAAAAGGAGAAAACCAATTTTAGTACAGCACAAATTCTAAAATCTAGAAACAAACTAGCAGGGAGAAAGAAGCGCATCTAGAATGAGCACCAAAGAGCCCTCTGAGTATTTTGCACAGCGTCGAGGCGGACGGGTACGCGGCGCTGAGGGCTACCACAAAGAAGACATATCGGCGCTACTTACGTGTGTGAAAGCCGTGCTACCAGCGACCACTGAGGAATGGGACCAGGTACTAGATGAATATCGCCGGACGCACGCGATCCCCAACACTCGCGCGCAACGTGACACCAGCTCTCTCAAGTCCAAATTCAAGCAGTTGGCGCGTAGTTTTAAGTACGGTGTGGACGCTCGCCCCGATGTGCAGGAGGCTGGAGCCATCATGGACCTAATTGAGGCCAAAATGACGGACGGTCAATGTCTGCAGCGACGAGGAGGCAGAGCGAAGGGCGCCGAGGGCTTCACGTCTGCAGATTCACTAGCCATTCTCAGCATTGTACGACGTTTTCTACCTGTTCAAAGGTCAGACTGGGAGCATGTTGCAGAGGAGTATTGCAGAGAGTACGCGGAACCCAACGAGAGGCTCAGCCGAGACGGTTCGTCACTCAAAAACAAGTTTCGCAATTGGCTAAAGGGAGACACGACGAATATGCTACGTGCGGAAGTTACTGAGGCTCTGGCTATTCAAGAGGAGATTGATGCCAGACTGAAAAAGGTTGCAAGGGATTATGCATCGCTGGAACATGATAAGGAAGAGATCGCAAGCAAAGTAGCTAACGCTATTGAAGACCGAAGGGGAAGTGACACTGAGAGCAATGGCACGGAGGAGGTAAACGGTCATGAAATAGTCACTGAGACCCAGGAAGGAGATAAAACGCCACTTACAGCGCCTCGGCGTGGAGGGAGAACGCTGGGATCCGAAGGATACTCCCACTCGGACACGAGGGCTTTGCTTGCCTGTGTCAAAGAGATTCTACCGTCAGGACCGACTGGTTGGGATCAAGTATTGCAACTGTACCGAGAGAATCACGCGACTCCCAAAAGCCGTTCGCAGAGGAACCCGACGGGAATCAAAATCAAGTTTAGACAGCTTGTAAACTGGAAACCAGTTTTTAGAAAACCCACGCCCGACACAGTGCTCGAAGCCCGTGCCATCCAAAGGCAAATTAATCAGCACGGAAGTCATGGAAAGCGCACACATTCTGAAAGCGGGTCTTACGCCTCTTTCGCACATACAACGGAAGTAAAAGCCCCGGAAACCCGCGAAGAGCGTTGTCCTGCTTTACCGCGCAACGACGAAGATCTGGGTCGACAAAACGAGGGTACCTCAGAGTGGTCATCACCTGCTGAGCCTGTAGTTAAACGACGGAAGTCAGATATTGCAGCGGTAGTGCAACTGGATGCTGATGTTCGTACTGAAATTGCGACTCGAGAGCTCGAATTGCTGCATCAACGCGAGCAACGCGAGGCTGAGCAGGCAACGTGGGAGAAAGAACGGGCTTTGCGAGAGAAGCAGCGTATGGACATGGAAGCCTGGACCTTCGTGTGTGATCGTCTACGTGCGCTGTACCGCGAGCAGGCGACAGAGAAAACACCCGAGATTATCAGTGAGATCGAAGAAGAGATCGCTGTCCTCAAGAAGAAGAAACAGCGACTCGCGACCTTGATGGAATGAGGACACAACACTGCATGGCGCATATTGTGGATAGGTTCTTCAGGTACACTTCATACGACTTGCGAATATTTGGATTATTTTTTACTCATGCCTCACTGATCCTGCTCGTTGTCCTCGTCACCACTCTCTGATGACGAGTAGCTTCTTGCTTGTACTTTCTTCGGGTCGACTGCAAGCGGTGAGAACATCAATTTTGCGCCTTGACGTGTCTTCACGGAAACCCTACGCTTCGCTTTCGGCGCTTCGACAGCCTCGTTCTCGTCTGCAGCTGTAGCTTCTTTTGTTTCCTCCTCTGCTTTGTTGTCATCGTCTCGATCATTGAAGGAACCTGGGGCCTCGCATGATACTGGTGACGTCGAAAAGCTTCCCGAGTCGCTCAAGTCCAAATTCAGCTTCAATTTTCCCTTCTTCAAACTGTTGGGAGGCGACTGATCCATCGTATAACTCGCGTCCGTGGAGGCATCTGCGTTGCTTACGCCCTCTTCGCCTTCGCTTAAAGGTGCTTTCTCATTGACTGGAGTGTGGTAGCTGTCTTTGGTCGATAGAAACTCGTAGTCTTGTGCTAACGAAGAGGTCGATGTCGCTAAATTTTTAATAGCCAGCGGGCTCGGAGCTGGCTGTGCAACTCGTGAAGACGAGTTACTTGTCGATCTAGGAACAGCTGGTAGTTGCACGGAGCTCCCGCTTACGCCGCTGTAACTTCCTCTCCTCTTCATACCTCCTTCGTATTGAATTGTCACTCCTCCACTCTTGCGCTGTAAAATTTCGTGAACTTGACGTTGTGCCACAGTGGCGCCGTGTGTGACCCCAACAGGGCTTAAAGATCCCGTTCGTTTCAGCTTAGCTCGAGGAGGTTCTGATCCGGTGCTTGTCCGGGAAGATTTATCAGGATTGCCCGGTAGTGAGGTTATACTTGTTCGAAGCCCGTGATACGATGGAGATAAAGTGCGAACAGGGAAGGAAACTCGCGTCTGTGGGTCCGTGTACGAGTCTGAATAATGGTGCAGCCGATGCTTTGATCGAACCTTCACATACAGAACTTCATCGGCCATAATGTGAAGTGGAGACAGCACTTCCACTCCATCTGCAGAGCGGATACCTGTACCAATGGTAACATATTAAAAGTTAATCCAAGAGCATCTAAACCACACAGAAGATGATACTTACACTCGATACTGTGGACGTGTAGCATCCGACGGATATTATCGTAGAGAGTCTTCAGGGACCACGACTTGTTCACCACGAAGCGGACCTTTCGACTGTGTTTCAAGCCTTCAATGACAAAGGTCACGCATACGGATCCTTCTGTAGCGATGTCAATTGATAAACGACGACGCACACGATCCACCAGCGGGCCAGATATTACGCGATACATCGCATTCGAGAAAATATTGGTCCCCTGGTCGATCTCTTCCTCTTCCAATCGGTTGTTGAATACTTTCTCTTTGACGCGTTCGTCTCCGTCAAAAGAGGAAGCAGTACTATGTGATCCTTCTGCGTCGCTGCAGTCCAATGCATCTTGCCTCGCATCGTCGGCTTTGCCGTATTCGTCTTGTGCAGCTTGGATACCGTGGTTCGACACGTCGTATGCAAAAGTCACTCCACACACGATCAACGGACCGAAAATGACACCCTACGGTAGCAGAGAACGACGATTCGCCTCAGCATAACACCACAGAGGTAGTAGGATTCGCTGGACTCACCTCAAACCCGAAGACGTAGACTCCGAACACCACACTCAAGGCAGACACGTAGGCATTCAAAGCCACAATACTCTTTTCATAGAGCATCTCATCCAGCACTGTGAAAGCCACGTACTGAACTGCAAAGAGGGCAAGTGCCTTTATGATTGAGGACGTCAGTCCAATTGAGATAACCCATGGAACGCATACCAAGTACGGCGGGATGATTGGCACGATAGAGATGAAGAACGTGACTGTCGTTGCGAGATACATGAAGTCAGCGTTCTACAGATAGCGAGGTAAAAGTGAGAAATATCTAACAGGACAACCAATTTGGGTGCATACGTACCACAATGGTGAACGAAACCATCGTCACGATCGCGTGAATACTTGCCATCTTCAGTGGCAAGAAGAAGACGCCCTCAATCACCTTGCGAAGAGACCTGACAACGTCTGGTCGTTTATCGATTTGTATGGGAAGTAGATCTTCCACAAACCTCTCGATAGGATCCCAGTTCGTACATAGCAGATAAAACAGCGACGAAATGAAGAAAAAGGAGCGAATGCCGAGACTCACAAACGCAATCACCAGTGTGAAGACGAGGAACACCAATTGAGCCACCGACCCAACAGCAATGCTGCTAACTTCAAGCCCCTTGGACGTCCAGTCGGTGAGCTGCACTGACGTTAAGTTTACCGAGTCCACTTTGGAGTACGCGAAAGACACCGCTTGTACAAGCGTCATGTTTTCGGGAAGTCTCAGCCTGGAAAATAGTGACGTATGTGATGTAACATTCCCGTCGCTAGACTTGGCATCCACGTAGTACGTCTTCACCAAACTTTTCAGCGGTGGCCACCACATCGTATCATTGTATTTGTCCTCGACGCCACTGACAGCCTGTGAGATCATAGCACGGCTGTTCTCCACCTGCTCGCTCCAGACTTGTCGCGTACGCTCGTCATTTATAAAGTTGACTTGGACCCAATCGGACAAATCCGTAGCAGCTCGACTTCCTTCTAAGTAGCTCTCGGAGCCGAGAAAGAGGATGACGAATGCACCCTGACACACAATAGTACATAGCGTTAGCAGTCTATAGTTGGTAGTAGCTTGGTCTACGTTACCGTGATGAAGAAGCCGAGTATGAGCAGCACTGACACAAGCACCTCGTCGGAGAAGAAGTAGCGGTAGTAGAAGATACGACGATCCAGGATCTTGATAAGACTCAATGCCGCGATCCAGAAGCCGATGATGATGTTCAGGAAAGACATCCACGAGTACATACGCATCCATATGGACACAGCACCAATGAGCGAGAAGAGAAAGATGCCGTAGTTGAGAAAGATCTCCTTGGCCGTGCGACGCGAACCATCGTGCGGGTGGCTGATGAAAATCCCTGTCGACTTGGAGAATACGCACGTCAGGAAGCCCTATAGTTGCAGCATCCCAGTCACGCATTAGTTAGTTCTCACAAGACGCTTCATTTCTACCGACTGCAGTTCGTACGTAGCGTTCCACATCGGCGTCGTCGCTGAGGTATTCTAGCACTGAGACGACATTATTCTTGGCTTGACGCAGCGCTTGGCTGCATAGGATGGCCCATACAATGAGGCGCAGGTAGTTCTCAAACAGAAGAAAATTAAAGTAGATGAGGACGAGGATCAGCGCTGTCGAGATGTTGCCGATCAGCTGCAGTGGCGGATAATTCCCAAGATATAGTGAGCGAGTGGTCAGTACCTGCATTTCGATGCATGCTGCGCACTGTAGCACATCAATCGATACAGCGAAATGCCGGACACAAGGACGCACCTGGGCGAGAATCATCTCCACAAACTCGGCCATGGTAGCGCCAGTGCTGCGGAACTCGCAGAAGACCGCCAATTCCTTGGGCGAGACACGCACCGTTTTTTGTCGAATCACGACAACGTATTAGAGTACATAGGGTAATTTGCTTCCTTTTGGCTTTTGCACAAACTTATTTTAATGTGTTATCGACGGTATTTGAAGTTTCATCATTTATCGACCAATCAGAAGCCGTCAAAGATGCTTCGGTATTACCACCACCACCAGCTCAGCGACGGAAGAGAAGGAACTGGATGGCCTCCATTTCTCGCAGTTCGTCTGTCTTGTCGCCCGCATGGTTGTTCGCAGTGAAAGGCGGTAGGTGTTTGCCGGTACTAAGCAGGCCGGCGGCGTTAAATTGGGGGTCTCGTTGTTGAACCGCGTCTCGAGAGATAACGGACTCGTCGCCATTGTCGGAGGAGACGAGGCTGTTGCTTACAGAGGGCGCGTTCTCGTCGTAATTGCGCGGCGATAATGCAAACTGCTCGCCTTTGGACTGAGCGAGGGTTCTGACCGGTGAGTTGGGGTGGGTATCTTGCCACGAAGTGTTAAAATCACCGCATACGCTGTTATCTCCGCCATCATGTCCAATAACGCTATCTTCATTAAGAACCAACCGCGAATAACTGCCACTCCAGCCTAGGTTCGCACTTCGATCTTGTTGGTTACTACTGAGTTGCTGCTGCCGCCGAAAGAGAGATGCATGGTCAGGCTCACTGGAGGAACTTACTGATGACTTTTCCGGCGAATCTACATGGCGAATCGGGGAGGGCACTTTAAGCGACATGCCGAAGCCGGGAGCTTTCACTAGATCGTACAAGCTTAATCCGGCTGGCATGGCTTTATTTAAAATAGCGTCCGCAAACCCCGTATCTCCACCAACCGCAGGCACAGCCTCAGCATTGGCAATAGTAGCAGCACTGTCCCCGAGATGTGGTGAACCTCCATGCTGCTGTGACATATTAATCTGCTGTTGGGAGACAACAGGCTCCGTCTGAATTGCCACCTCCACCAGTCGCCCAGCCTTCTCGTCAGCCTCTTTACGGAGAAGTGCGGACTGTACCTCGCGCTCCCGGTCTTCGCGCGCGAGTCCTTCTGCCCTCGCCTGTTTCTCAGTGCTCAAGCGATTCTGCAGTCGCGCCTTGATGGTGTCCATGTCGGCCATCATGCGGCGCATCTCATCGATGTCAGCCTGCACGCGCTCCTTCTTGGCGGCAGCGGCGGCTTCATCTTCGTCGCCCTTCTCTTCCTCTCCACTGTCTTCCTCGCTATCACCGCCGACACTACTATCGCAGTCGCTATTGGAGTCATAGCTGCTGTCTTCATTGACGCTGTCGCCACTCGTCTCGCTATTTCTGCCATCGCTGGTGCTGTCCTGCAGATCTTCCGCTCTGACCATTGTCTGCGGCCTTTCACATCCTGCCCGACATCATGGCTTCATGTACACTCGATTAAGTACGAGAGCTTTTGCCACGCAGCACACGCTGATTGGATGGCCGTCGACGCATCGCTGCATTGTGAATCACAATGTGCCGCTGGCGATCTGATGTGCCACTCTCACTGTGTACATGTAGAAGTTGCAGTACCAGCAGTAAAAGCTCGGCTGGCAGAGCAGAGGAAGATCATCGCGTTCGCTCTCAAGCCTTGAGCCAAGGCGTGCACCCCGTTACGAAAGTATCACCCGGGGTTGTCATTGCGTTGTTGTTGCAATGCAATTGCGCTGATCCTGGCTGCCACGCTTCCCTAAGTGCTCCAAGCCTTGGAGCAGAGTCCAAGGGCGACTTCAAAGGGCGCTCTTTAGCGCTGATCCGATAGCGCTTCAAGAGTTCGCTTCTCTGACAAGTCAACTTGACTGTCAAGTGCGTTGCAGACTGCGCGCTGACCTTATCAGATCCGCCAGCCAAGGGCATCAGGTTGGACAAACGTACTCATTAGCGACACAAGTAAATCGCTGCTCGTAATTCTTGTCAGTCCATACCGCTCTCAGTGAGAGCGGTATGGATTGACTGAGAGTCTCAGTCTGCTGTTGTTTGCAAAATTTACGGCACTCGGTATAGCTGCTCAAGGTGAGCCTCAGATCAAGATCGCCACCGTCCGGTTGTACACATCTTGTACCCCTATTCTCGTTTGTTGTCCTCTCCCCGCCCCCTCTCTCCCCGCAGGACTTAACCACCAAAACACTTGATATTTGTAAGGAGGACGGCGCGAAACGTACTAAGTACGAACTGTTATCAGCATAAACCCCGCGAAAAAAGATCAGCATATCAATGGGTGGACAATGCTAAGACTAAAGCTTGCGACCTGCCTCGCGGCATACCCTGAATTCAGTTCTCGTACCGCGCGCTGATTGGCCCGTCCTTCGCCTCGGAGACGTAGTTGTCGTGCATTGCTTGGCTTGGCTCGCAGCCGCCCACGTTGCCGCCCCATCAATCTCGAATTTCCCTCGAGCCCAGCAGGACCCGCAAGCTCTAGTTAGAGAGACCTGTACTACCGATCATGCGTATCTCGGGAGTATTCCGCGCAGCTCTGCTGGCTACGGCTGCGATCTCAGCCTTCTCGCTACCTGCGTCGACTGAGGCCAACACGGTGGTCGTGAACAGCGAGAACAACGTGGCGGCTTTCGATGCATCCATGATCCATCCGTCGATCGAGACCCGTGTGCTGGCTGCTGCTCCTGCTTCTGAGGACGACGAGGACACGCCGACCCCGGCCCCAAGTGGCAAGAAGAAAAAGAAAAAAAAATCCTCGTCTAAGACTGTGGCCAGCGAGGATGGAGCAATCAGCTCGTCAAAAAAGGAGTCTGCCGATAAAGCGGCGACCACGGACGCACCCAAAAAGAAGAAAAAGAAGTCCACACCCGCTTCTGAGGATGATACGGAGGCCCCTGCGAAATCGACCAAGTCGACCAAATCTTCCAAGTCTTCCAAGTCTAGCAAGTCGAGCAAGGCGGCGGCGGCGGCGGCTACGACCACCACGACTACCACCACCGCGGCCACTGCGGACGAGGAGACCCCGGAGCCCGCCATTGACGACTCTGTCACCGACAAGAAGATCAAGGGTAACAAGAACGAGGGTATCATTGATGGCTCCTCGGAAGGTAGCGCCGAAATTGATAAGATTGATCTGCGTAATGAGGACGGCTGGGTGAGTGTGTACGACGACCCTCCGCTGCTCGTCATCAAGGCCTCGCTGTACGCTTTCATTTCGTACAACGACACGGAAGTGTGCGACACCTTCAACATGACCATGAACGCTGTGGAGCAGAAGGCAGAGGAGAACGGACGCTTCTCGTACCACGTTGTCTCCTACATCAACTGTACCAAGGACGGCGAAGACGAGACTCAGGGCCGATTCATCCTTAACTTCATTCCGGAGGGAAAGCGTCTGCTTCTGACCGAGTGTGGTCACCGTGAAGAGGGTGAGATTGTCAACTGGCTGCGTATCCAGGAGGAGGTGCCCGAGTGCATGACCCCCTCACAGCGTAAGAAGTTCCTTGCTCAGCCCATGAAGCACATTCACGCCACCAACGGTACTACGGAGACTGAAGCCGTGCAGACCGACTTCCTGTCCCGACTCGAGGAATTCGACAGGGAGGAGGTCGCAATTGTCGGCTCCGCTACGGTGGCGCTTATCGCAATTATCGTCGCTCTGGTTGTCTTCATCATACGTAAGCGTAAAGCACAGAAGGACCTGGAGCGCACCATTGCCGGTGCCAAGGCCGAGCACGCTGTTGAGGACGACGACGTGCAGACGGAGCCTGAGGAGAAGGCCACAAAGGAGCGCAAGGGTCTCATGGACAGCTCTAAGGCCAAGAGCGACGACCCTGACATGGAGGAAGGCTCGTTCGTCAACTCTCCCGCTGTGCGCGTGTAAACCTAGCTGCGTTTTCGACTAAGTGGTTGACTTCTCGTGGATTTGAGTGCGGAATTCGATCGTAGACTTTGAACTAGGAGACATTAGCTGTGGCTATAGCTAGCTAGCTTTCCTTGCCGGTTCCTGCCAGCCTCGAGATGTCTGCGCTATTGCAATGCGCTTGTTCTAATGCATTTTGTGTTGAAATATATTCGCGCAGTTTCATCTTGTAAAATTACAATTTTAATGTGATTTTTCACTGCTATAGAATCGCACGGTGCCATCACATGAAGCTGTAGCCAACTGTGGATGGAGAGGGCTGAACGCTACACTAGTGACCACGTCTGTGTGGCCCTTAAGCTTGATGAGCCGTCGACCTGTGCGGATGTCGTAGACGTACGCAGCTCGATCTTCCGACCCCGTGGCCACATAGCGCATACAAGGACTGAAGGATTGCCCCAGCGTGTGCACTCGGTTTACGTGTTCGCTGAAGCGCATGACGCAGTTGTCAGCTCGAATATCCCACAGATGCGTCGTGTTGTCCGGTGCACTACTCAATAAGAGATCGTAAAAGTTGCTGGGATGACTAGCGTAGCATGTCGGGCGAGGCAAAGCAATTGTGTGTGCAGCGCGGCTGTGAGCGTCTCGAACTACTCGCACAGTGCGACCACCACCACCGGCACCAACGTCCAGGACTCTTAGCGAGCGATCCGACCCCGCAATTATTGCTACCGACGACAAAAAGGCTCCATTCACACATGCGAGGCTTGTGACGCTCTGCATGTCGTCGAAACTCCATTGAGCAACCCGTTTCTTCCGACTCTGGTTCTCGACAACTTCAACGTCGTTCTTCTTTTTGGTAGGCTTTGTCTTCTTTGAAGCACGAGCATAAACTTCATCCAGCTCAAACTGGTGCAGGCGTGCAGCGTTCCCACATGCAGACAGCAGAAACTTGTCCATATAGAAGAAGCGAGCCTCAACGATATCCTGTCGTGAAGCTTTCTTAGCATTGGACATGGACCCCATCGCAGCTGCAGCAGTGGCCACACCTGAAGGTGGAGCGATTCCTTGCATTGTCAGTGACGAGGTATCGCTGTCAGCTAGCCATATTCGACTCGTCTTGTCGCTCCCGATCGTCACGAGCATTCGGTCGTTCTGACTCCAGTGGATAGCGCGTACTGCTTGGTCGTGTCCAACAAACACATTGCCTTCCCCACCAAATCGACTAAATGGCAACTTGCACACTTGAGCCACTCGATCGTTGCCACTCGTTGCGAGATATTTGGCATCACTGGAGTATTCGATATGTAGAATTGCACCTTGATGTAATGCCTTAGGTGGCAGTGCATGTTTCGGTTGATAGTGCTGTAACAAGCCACAGTTCGTCGGATATTCTTTCAGGTAAGAGCCAACCGATGTGAATGAGTTCGAGTCTTTTGTTCGATTATTGGACAATGACTTCCGAGTTTTCGAGAGCAGCTTTGGTGGTGTTCGTCTCGAGTCGAAGGGAGTGAACGAACCATAACCGGATGACTTGATACGAGTATGAAATGTGACAGGCTTGTCCAAGCCTTTTGATCGTTTGGGTGGCGTCTTCTTTGCTGACAATGGCAGTAAATTCAGTACACTGTCCGTGGGCGGAGGACCTCTCGGGATTACAGACACTCGTTTATTGTTGTCATCAGATGCAGGTCGTTCTTGACTGGATGAAACGTAGTGAGGAGTTGTAGCATTGCCCTCTACTTGGTTGTCACTCTTCGGACTACTCAATAGGATTACAGTGTTCAGCATCGTGAAGCAGGGCTGGAAAGCACTTATCACACCGCAGTGAAGAGTATCTGAACGTGGTGGATGATAAAAGCAGAAGTCTTTGGCAACGCAAATCGGATCATCTCGCTTGATAGATTCCTGAAAGTCGTGAACAATGGCGATCTTGAACGAGTAAGCATTGACGCTGAGAAGATAGCCCGGTATACCCACAAGGAGAAACTGCTTATGGTCCAGTAACTCGCGATCTTGATCACTACTGAAACCCAGGCTTTTCCCTCTGTTCTCTGCAGTTTTATGATCCGCGCAAACGTACTTTAGCGATAAAACTGGACAGGAAACTGCGGCATTAATCTCGTTTTCATCGCTTGGGTCGAACTGCTCTGGGTTGTCAGCGGATCCGTAGTTAACACTCGTGCCAACACAATTAGACTTCTGGGCGTTTTCACTGCGAGCCCAGGGTGGAAGAGAGCTAATAACTTGGGGTTTATCTTGACGTGCCTTTCTTTCTGCTTCCTTCGAAGCAGCATGACGGCATAACGGTCAGTCGCTTTTTCCAATTGCCCTGCTATAATCTTTAGCTGATACCTGTTTTCGTCGCAGAGATTTTTGTATATAGGTCTCAACATTACACCCTGTGAGTTCTTTTGCGTATCTATCCAACAATTCAAACACCTTGACAGACCCGTCCGCGAAACCGAAGGCAGCGTCGCCATTTACAGGGTTAAGTGCGATGGAGAGAATTGCGAACGCTGATAGCACTGATGACTGGAACCACAAGGTTCTCGCTGCTAAGTCCCAAATCTACATTGGTACAAGATAGCACAATTAATTTAAAAAAATAGTTTCCCTTAGCGCTAATACCTTGAATGTTCGATCTTCCGAGGCAGTGACCAACAAGTGATGATGAATTGGGTGAAACTCGCCTTTTGTCACCTATACGAATCATTATGCAATCTTTAGCAATTAATTTAGGAGCAGCTACCAATACGCACGACTTACTCGTGCCAGGTGCCCTTCCAATGTTACCAGCACCTCCTTCCGCTCAATGACGAATATCTTAACATCCCGTTCACTTGCCACTGCCACTAAAGTACCCGTATCATCAAATGCAACCCAACCTGGCTCTGTTGGTAGGCTCTCCACTAAAACGGACTGCTCCACGCGAGTTTTCCCTGTAACACGCCACACTATAACACTGCGCATTCGTCAGCCTCAGCTCCGTTTTCCTATAAACCAAACCTAAAAACGCACTAGTCGCGAGACGCTGAGCAAATAGTCACATATGACTCGGCGTTATGGCATATTTTAACGCAGACGATGCGCTTGGCGTGCCCATGCAGTTCAAGATCTCTCTCTTGCGGACCCAGGTCCGTCTTTGTCAGTGAATTGCCATTCCAGCGCACCCGGATCACTGCACAGTCGCTATATTGCAATGCAAACACGGTGCACCGGTCACAAGTGTCAGCGGCTGTGAGTGTCGCCTTGGGTCGCCACTGCCAAGCTGCGTCTGCGAGCAGCTCCATGTCTTCAAGTGTCGAATGACAACATATGATTGGTTTATTTTAACAGCTTTCGTCCAATGGACATGAGCCGTTTAAAAGCAATTTTACATGTTGTAGCGCGATGGACGAGTCTGTGAAAGAGGAGAAAAAGGAGGACGCAGCCGGCGACTTATATGCGCTCTCGCTGTACGTACACAAGATATATCGCTGCGTTTTCTTAAACTAGAGACGAAGATCTATTGGTCTGCTCGCGCTACAATGAGGATGGTGCAGAATGTGCTGAAATATACTCGTTTGAATGTTAGAAACGGTGACCGGGATCAGACATTCCGCGCTAGCCGCGTCACGGGCTCACGCTCGATCGAAGTGGCGCTGGCAGAAATTCAGATCATCAAGCACAATGTCTATGTCCAGCGTAAAGAGCGCTCGCTTCCTGAGGTACTTGCAGTATATGGCAACACCCGCTGAATATGACCCAGAATGGGAATAACCAGTCTCTCTTACGGCATGCGGTTGCTAGGATGAAGTATCCATTTGCTCTTGCAAATCGCCGATGGACGAGAACGAAAGGGGATGTCTCGACGGCTGCTTAAATCGAGCGGTAAGCCTTGATTTTTCAGACCTTAAATGTTGGGGGTGTTTTACACGTGTATTGTATGCGATCCACACAGGCTTTGGTGGAGTGCAATCCGGAGTTCTGCAAGTGCGGCGATCAATGCGATAACATGAGAATTCAGCGTGGAGTGATGCCGTCCACACAACTTATAAACTGCGGAGGGAAGGGCCTCGGAATGAAGCTCCTGGAAGATATCAAGGCCGGCTCGTTCGTTGGCGAGTACATGGGCGAGATCGTGACGGAACAAGAGTACTACATGCGACGAGTGGTACGTGTCTGCGTAGTTGATGCTGCGGTTTAATTGCGACAAGCTGACGGAGTTCGCTCGTGTATTTTCTTTTACAGCTTTACCATAACGAGAAGCACCGCTACATGATGGTGTTAAGTGGCGGTGAAGTCATTGACGCTACACGCATGGGCGGGTGGGCACGCTTCATCAATCATAGCTGCAACCCCAACTGCGGAGTAGAGAAGTGGGACGTTAATGGCGAAGAAAGGTGTGCCATCTTCGCTCTGCGTGATATCGTTGCTGGCGAGGAGTTGACGTTCGACTACAAATTCGAGTCTTTCAGCAAAGCCGTAAGCTGAGACGTCTCCGGTCTCATTTCTAGCTGATTTCAAGACGAGGTGTCTGACAATCAATTCGCCTTGACATGGACAGGAGATCACGGAGTGCCTATGTGGAGCCCCAAATTGTCGAAAGGTGATCGGAATGAACAATAAAGTGACGAAGCTCAACAAGGCGCAGAAGAAGACAGCGGAGACGACAGCGCTGGTTGAAGAGCCAAAGCTGCTTGACCCTGTCATTGGGCTAAAATCGAGGCCAGTTCAAGGCGCAAAGGTTAGTCGTACATTGTGGCCGCATGGATACTTAAAACTCTTGTGCTAACTCTTCAGCTTGCGCTGTCCTACGCAGAAAGCGGAGGCTCTGATGCAGCGGATGGCAAGGCAGCGTCTCCTAAGCCATAGTGAACTCCGCGTTCTGCGACGGTCGCATGTGATGCTGGAGCGCAATTTATCGTGGCACATGGAGGACGACTTTGCGCACTTAGCGCTGCTGCCGTACTTTGTCACGAAGAACTCGTCCGTGATGAAGCACACGCCGGAACTCAAGCATGTGCCCGACTTCTTTAACTGGAGAGACCTGCCGAATTTCCCGAAAAAGATGCGTCGCCAGAGTCGAGAAGCGAAAGTCTCTCGCCTGCGCGACATCACCGCTTCGTTGCAAGCCCGAAAGGAGCAGCAGCAATAAACTACTAAAGTAAGTAGTATTACCTAGCTGTGACCAAGTTGCACGCACATGTTGCTCCCACCTTGTCTTTATCCCTTGATGGATTTCCACCAATAAGACATCTGCTTACAAAATCCTTTTATTGGTTATAAATCCTCCATCCCTTCCCCTATAAGCTTAGAGAGCGAGACCGAGTGTGACCGCCGTCGGCTGAGAAGCGAGTGTCAGCGGCAGAGCCTGTCAGAAACTGAGTTGCCGTGACCCGGCCGTTCCATTCCATCGTCAAGGTGCGTCTCGTTGGCTGCGTGCACTGGTCTTACTGCGGCAAATTTTCCTCGTTTTTCGACGCTTAAACGCTGTTTCTACCGATGATTGCTAGATTAGAAACGTGTCTGAGCTGATCGCCATGGCGGGGTGCGACCGCGAGCCGAGCCCTGACGCAGGTTTGAAACAGCACACCGACAAGTGCAGTCCCAACTCAAGCTGTCAATGCCAGCCTAGCGCTGCGGAGACACGCGAGTTCCGCAAGGTGAGCGAGGTCCACCAGACGATTAGAAGGAGACGAGGCTGCAGCTAACGACGACGTGCTTTGTGCTTGTGTAATTGCGGTAGCGGTGGCTGCTCCTGACGGACCGCGAACGTGTTGCAGCGCTTCGAGGAGACGTGAACCAGCTCTTGCAGACAGCCACCGACTTGCTGCCGTGTCCAGGCTGTCGGAACAGCGCAGAGGCGCTGTACTACAAGCTGGTGGACGGCATTGTCCGTGTCCCACAGGTCGTCAGTCGGTCAGGCTTGTGCTTCGACAAGGACAGCCACTTCCGTCTGAATGAGTCTTATCTGAACAGCCCTGACACGTCGTTCTCACTGTTTTATCACCAAGAGCGATGGGCCAACTCGGCGCTAGCTAAACCGACCAAGCCTAACAGCAAAGCGGGAACGTCGCGTGCAAGGTGTCAGCTCCACTCTCAGCGAGTGCGAGGTCGTCCACGTCCTGCTGCGTTCGAAGCGCTGTGGCATAAACTCCCAGAAGACCATCAGCGACATCTCTCTCACATTGATTCGGACCAGTTCTTGACCGACCTGGAGGGTTATCTACGTCGTCATCGCTTTTGTTGTCGATGCAAGGAGAAGGTTTTAGAAGCGTATGATCTGCTTATCGGATCGAGTTGTAGCGAGGACGACTGCGAGGATTGCGGAGGCTTCGAGTGCTCGGAAAAACACCACGAACACAGCGATTATGGCGACGATCTGCACTACACGTCGTATTTGTTCGACGAGCTCGCGTTCTCGCGCGCCACCAACCAGATTATTGTGCCTTGCAATATTGAGTTTATGTCGCAGTTGATGTCGCGAGCAGACCAGGAGGTTGTCGGCGACTGGGGCGATCGTCACGCACGAACAATTGCAGAGGCACAGGACGAAGTTCTAATATGCTTGGGCATGGTAATTTGGGACAAGATGCAGAACTTGTGGACCAAATCTCGGTCAGAAAAGCGCGCGGAGGAGTTGTTGGTGCATTGCGCCGTGTCTACACTACGTCGCAACTTCGATGAGGCAGTGGAGGCGCTGCATGGCGAGGAGATGATGGAGCAACTGCTGGCAGAAGAAGATGACGAATCGCGGAGACTAGCGAAGAAGAAAGAGAAGCGGAAGGAGAAGAAGAAGAAACGCAAAACTGCATCGAAACAGAAACAAGTGGATCGATCTGAATCCGACAAAAGTCAACAGGCCGAGAAGCAAAAGCCCAAGCAGACCAAGTCGCGTAAACAGTCGGACAGCAGCAAGACTGTAGCTTCTCAATCCTCGACCAACTCTATCAGTAGCCAAGGGGACGACGACGATCTCACAATTTCCAGTAGTAGATCTTTGGATCTCATGGGACCGCATCAGTGCGACTCGACATGTGACGAGCCTTGTCTACGTGCGAATTTGACGTGTGACGAGCGCAGGGAGTGGCAACTGCTGTCGTCTATGGGGTGGGATGCGTCTAACCAATTCACGTCTTCATTTCCCGAGCTGGATGTGGACACAGACGACGAGAATCACGGCATTCCTGAAGACGAAATCCAATTCTGGAAGCAGAATCGTTCAAGTCTCGTGCGACGACGCATGGCCCAACGTCAGAAGTTGCAGGAGCGCTTCGACCAATTTGTATTGCGCACGACCTCGCTGGATGCGTAGAGCGTTGATATCAGACTCGAGTAACCACAGCAGAGGGTCGGGAGATTTGTCAGTCGTAAAGAGTGTTGAGAACACTCGTCGCTATGAAGAGAAGGAACAGCGAAGTCTGCATAATAAAACCACTTTCTTCTTTACTCCTACAATATTTGCGTGTCCAGTAAGTTATGGCTTGGATGGCTAAAAAGTTACCGGAAGGTAGACATTCACATCAAAGCTCCACCTTGTTTACCTCTGCTTCCAGGGACGAGATAGCTTTGTCAGCCATACCTTTGTGGTTTGTGCATGCCACAAGGACGTGTGTGAGAGCGTTTTGATTCTTTTCAATCAAAGCCTTGTAGCCCTCCGTCATGTCCACCGACCTATGGACAATTAAATACAACACCGTCAGATGAGTTCAGCCTCAACCGCAAGTCAGATGTGCATTCACTCACGCTTTCCTCACGTCCAGCAAATGTTGGCGACTCGTGACCTCTTCTTCGGCAAGGTTGTCTCCATTCGTGATTTGTTTGATCTTCTTTTCAACTTCTTCAGAAGCAGCCTTCCTTCGCCGAAAAAAAACAGCTTGCTTCTCACGCTCTCGCTGCATCTGCTCGGCGCAGCTTCTCGCTTTTGATTCCGAATCCTTTTCCTTTTCGAGCTCGTTGTTCAGCTGGTTTTCCAAAGTCTGCAGCTTCGCATCCAGCTCCAGCGCCTCGTCCAGAGCGGTGTTGGCACGCGTGAGTCGGTTTTGCTTCAACTCATGAGCTCCTTGACGGATTCTCGTCTTTAAATCATGCGTCACTTTTTTAACCGCGTCAAGCTCATCTAGATTTTGATCCAGTTCGAGAGAAAAGTCAAACTGGAGCGAGTTCTTCGCGGTCACCGGAATCATCTTGAGCTGCTTGCAAGTATTCAAATACTGGTGAATGTGGGCGTCAAGCTGTTCAAAAGCAGTAATGTATGATTGTTAGACGACATGGTTTTTGCACGTATTTTCTTTCCAGCAACGCACATCGTCTCGAATTCTTGCAGCACGGTTCTCATCGATTTTAATTCGTTTCTGGAACTCGTCTTGCTGAGCAATCGTTTTATGGATTTGCTCATATAGCCTCGCTCTAGAGAGACCAATTTGCTCGATATCGTGCGCAGACAGCTCCTGGTTGCTTATACGGGTTTGAAGTCTCTTAATTTCTTCCTGGCGGGACGTGAGCTCATCATCTGTCAAAAGCACATTTGATAATGCATAGTCACTGTTAGAAAATGCTGCTACCAGCTGAGCCATCGACAGCTTCGTACCGCACGCTTGCTGGACATCATGGAGGGACTCTATCTTCTTTTTAAGCTTGACTTTCGTCCTCTCCAAGTCGTAAACTAATTTTCTGAATTTTAAGAGGTCGCTCTCGCAGTCACTTTTCTTCGAGCTAAGCTCCGCCGATGCTTTCTACAGAAACAGTGATACCAGAGTCAACTTAATGAGATTGGTCTGGCAAATGCGCACAGCACTAGGTCGTCGTACCTTGTCCATTTTAACCTTCTCAATACGCTTCTTCAAATGTTCGCGCTGCTGCTCCAGCTCGCTCGTTTCCTGCTTCACCACCTCGTTTCGCGCAACTACAATCGAAGTCAGTATATCCACCCTTAGTTACAGGAACAAAAATACGTACTTAGTTTCTCGCGCTCTTGGTTCTCCAGGGCTTCGAACTTATCGTCATCTCCCGCCAAAAAAACGTGGTAGGAGGCATCGAGGTATTTGAAGAACGGCTTGTCACCGTTCTCCTCGTCATTTTCCCCGTCCTGCTCATTCTCGCTCGCTTGCTGTATAGCCTCGTCGTACTATGTGTAAATACAAAAAAAACACCCAAAAACAAGATTAGTATCCAATAACAAAGCACTTCCATCTTTACAGCTTTGCAACGTACACTGAGCAGTTCAATCAGCCACGACATGGCCATCAGCAGCATGGGCCACGTGTGAGGTGTACCCACTGCTGCTAGTGACGTTTTGCTGATAGAAATGGGGTACCGCAGATCGCGCAACTGCTGCACGACGTCCTCCTCGAACTTGCCCTTGAACTCAAAGGTAGGATCTATCAGCTTGAATAGGAAAAGGATCATATTCTCGAAGTCCTTTTTGGATGGTCCGCGCCGCAACAGTGCCTGTGCCTGCGGAATCACTTGGTCGTACATGTGCTCGCTCAAGAACTCGACAAGCGTTTGCACGCATCTGTACTGGTACGAGCGGTCGCTCACAGGCCGAGGGTCCACCACTCGTCCGCCTCCGCGTCCTGATATGGAAGCACGCGAGCTGTACGTACTGTTGCGTCGGTTAATGCCGACGGACTGACGCCGGTTCATCGAAGTTCGCGGCCCAGTAGGGGGCCTCCGAGCGGTTCCCGCGGTAGTGGAGACGCGGCGAGACGCGACGCCGATCGACTGACGCTCCATCGCCGTCGTGCTCTTGTTAGGGACTGACACACGAGTGGACGGATGGCGCAGCGCGGAGGGGCGTGCGTTAAGCTGCGAGGACGACATGGGACCTAGCGTCGTGCGCCGCATCGTGTTGTGGTTTGAATTTTAAAACTTAGATATTGTGTGAATCACGTAAAAGCATGTGGACCACAAAGAAGACTTTTAAAATTATTCGGAGAAGCTTTTATTTTAAAAACTAAAATATCTTATTTCTGACTACATTTCATGTATTTTGCAGGTATTTCGAAGTTTTTCACATCTCGGATCTGCTCTTCCCGACTACAGTAGTTCTTCATGCCATCTGCTGGCTTTGTGTACCTTACAGACATCGACGTAATTCCCGATGGGTCACATCTGGGCGGGCATGGCTGGCTTTGAACTGCCTTTACAGGTGTTCTCTTTGCTCATAGACCTATCTGCGCTGGAAGTGGCTGGTCGAAGCATTCTATAGGAGGTCGACCACCATGACGGCCAACACTGCTGATGCTGGGAGACCTGCTAGCACACTGCGACGAGTACAGGAAATCGACGACGGTGCCAACGACAACGACAACGTAGGCGCTGGCTCGGGTTCGCTCACAACAATGGACATGTCATTTCTCTCGAACGTGACCATCGATGACAGCGGTGTAGGCCATGTTAAGGTGAACAACAGCATGGACTGGTCGGAGATTCTTTCCAACGACAGTACTGTGCGGATTATCTACGAAGGGTCTGGGTCTAGTGAGCAAGTTCTGATCATCCCCGTCAAGGACAATGCGTCGAGGTCTACGGGCTCCTCGTCGAGCAGCTCATCCGGCTCGATGTCAGGAAACAGCTCCGTAGTGGACAATCTCCCGACAGGGTCAAGCAACGAGAACAGCTATGTAGATAGCGTGGGAGTCATAGGTACAGGTTCAAGCTCGACCATCCTTGTAATCGTGGGCTCCGTTTTGGCCATCGTTGCCATTGCGGCAATAACGGCTGTGGTATTGTACGGCCGGAGGAATCGCCGACGAGCATTCTCGGAAGACCCTGACGAACCTTTTATCGTGGGCTCGCTGCCTCATCAGCCAGCTCCACAGCTCAGCATGTTGGACGCGGACATCACGCCGGACTTGTGGGTCGAGGGTCAGTACCGGTACTCGCCTAACATGAGCGGGCTGGAGAACTCTCTTAGTGGCACCGCCATTCTGTCGGATAACAACACGACTTCGCTAGACCACCGACTTACCGTCGACGCCTACCCGTTCGGCCCCAACACTAAACGAGGACGTCGTCATATTGCTCCTCTGGATCATTCCCAACGAAGACGTCGCGACAATGGTCCTCTGGATGATATTTCTGATCGGGGTCGCTATCGACGAGGTACAACACCTGTTGTGCTGTACGAGGAAGACTCCGTTGACGAGTACGAGACCAACTCAAGCAGGAAAAATCAGTCACACCGACGAACGTCACAGAGACAGCGACCATCTACTCAGCAACACCGTCATCATAGACATCGAGAGTCACTAGAGCAACAACGCACCAGTCGTAGAGATAAATATGCTACCCGACGAGATCGATAGGTACAAAGTTTTTTTTGTATAAAATGTATCTTACCGCTTTTCACCATGAAAAAAAAGTTGAACTTTTACTGGCCTTATTTTCAGTCGCACTACCATCCGTCATACACTTGCCTATGGAACGGCCTACCTGAGCTGTTGGCGGACAGTCAATCACTTGGCGACTGAAGCCATCTGACAGACATGGCTCGAGGCAACACACAGTACTCGGTGGCTGAGCTGGTGGCCAAGGCAGAAGCGCTAGTGGATCAGTGTCAACCAGAGTTGGCTGTGCAGTTTTTCGAGAAGGCACTGGTACAAGAGCCAATCAACACGTCGCTGTTGGACTCGATCGGCGAGTTGAGCACGGAGCTCGACAACCCGGAACGCGCATTGTCAGCCTTCCAACAGAGTGTGCAACTAGCACCAGCCCAGAACCCGGCTAAATATTTTTACCTGTCGCAACTGGCTGCAGGCGAGGAGGCTGAGCGCTACACGACGCAGGGTATCACATTCCTACAGCAGGAACTGCAGCAGCATGTGGACCCCAACACGCCCGAGGCTCTTACCATCAAAAAGCAGATCTGTGACGCCTTATGCTCGCTTGGAGAGCTCTACATGACAGACTTGTGCGACCACGACGAGGCTGAAACTCGCTGCGAAAATTATTTTCAGGAGGCCATCAAGTTCGACGTCGGTTTGCCCGAGCCCACACAGGCGCTAGCGAACTTACGACTTGTACAGCAGAACAAGGAGGCGGCTGACGACCTGCTAAAGGAGACTTATCGGCGGCTAAATGAGGGCTGCGACGAGGAAAACTTGCCGTCTCTGGAGTTCCGGACTGCCACAGGCAAAATGCTCATGGAAGTGGAGCGATACGAGCAGGCTTGTGACGTATTGGAGGGAGTGATGCAGGAGGACGACGAGAACGCCGAGCTCTGGTTCCTCGTGGGCACGTGTTACCGCGCTATGGACGACTTGCCTAACGCTCTGGAATTCTTCGAAAAGTGCCAAACAATGCTCAAAAAGCTCAAGAAAGAGCTTCGTGACGATTTCTATTTGCAAGACCAGCTCGAGAGCGTCAACGAGACTATCGACGAACTTAAAACTTCCATCGCTAATCGTCCACCTGAGCTTGACCAGGAAAGCGAAAGTGAAGAGGAAACTGCGGATGCTGAGACTGTAGGACAACAAGACGTAGAGATGGAGGAATGAGCCCTAGATTTCTAAAGAAAATATATGTTCGATAAACCTCCTATATCTCCGTGCGACGCAGTGGCAATTGTGGTGGTAAGAGCGGGAGACACACGATCTTACCACTACCGACACCGAACACGGCATGCAATTCATCAGGTGCCAGTCCTTGCGACGAGATTTCACCGTATGTGTCTTGTTCGAGTAGCACACGTTGGTCATCAAGTGTGTGTGCAGTCATGACCAAAGCCTGAGAGCTGTTGCTTACCACCACCTTCGAGTAGCGTGCACATATACTTAGCGATGTCATGGGGCGGTCACCTAGCGCAAACTGAGCCATCAACGTGCCGTTTAAGTGGAATGAATACAGCACGGGAGCCCCCGTGCCCATAGACTGCAGCGCCACGTGCCCCACATTGGATAACGCAAGTGAAATTACACCAGGCTCAAGATAGCCAGGCACTTTGTACGAGTGAAGTATGGAGCCGTCTTCCAGATCGTGTACCAAGCATTCATTGGACACAGATCCGCTAACACAGACGCCTAACTCGTCAGATGCACTCACGCAGTTAATCTGTGCGTTGTGTCCCAGTAACACTTGGTCAGCCGAGTAATCGTTGGCATGAACAGGCTTCGAGCTTACTCTTGAGCCTCGGAATATCTTGAGGGAGTCCAATAATGTCGAGTTCATACTTGCCACTTTCCACACTGAAATCGTGCCATCAGTACAACCCAACGCGAGCATGGTACCTAAGTTGCTGGTGTTCACACAGGTTACTACTGATTGGTGCTGTAGCAGCCGATACAGCAACGCGCCGTCCGCTGTCGAGTGGAAACGAGCCGAATAGTCATGATGACCCACAGTGCAGATCACCATTCCCCCATGAAGAAATGCGATCGAGTTGGACACAGTTAGTTGGCTTGATAAAGAGCGCTTCTCACCGAGTATCTTTCGACTCTTGCGGTCTTGAAGCTCGATGAATTCGCTAAGTAGATCACCACTGGAGCTCGAGCCAGTTGGCGTTCCCTTTGGCCGATTAGAAGGCTGTTGCGATTTCGACAACCTTGGTCCGAATCGATGCGACGAGAACATACCATGGCTATCCACACAGACAAGAAGTGAAGAGCCCGGGATCAATTTAACCAGTACAATTGGGGCTTCATGAGGAGCGTTTTGAACTACGCCGTTGGGTTCAGAAGACAAAGCCCGAGGCGAGACGGTTCCTGCGACAGATCCAAGAGAACGTCGTTGGGGATGAGGTTCACGAAGCACTTGGGTAGGCGTCTGTCCGAAATGGGCAATCTGAGACTGCATTGAGGACTTGATAATTGGGTCCGTGATAGAATCGACATCGACCATGCCCTCATATGTGAGATAGAAGAACACGTTGTTAGCCTCCACTGCCGCTGCTCCACGTTGTTTACAGCCAAACACCAAGTCGATCCAGTGATGAATGTTGGCTGATACGTATTCACTTTCCAGCGCCTGGAAAAGAAGAAGATTAGCCGAAAAATCGAGGTAATTAATGAAATGAGCAACGTACCACAAGGTTTTTTATCACAAAATCTTCAGGCGAGCGTGCCCATGGAGGAAGAACCACATTATTGACAATCGAGCCGTTCTGTCGTGTCCCTAGTTCGAGTCCGTTACAGTTCATCAGAAACTCTGGCAGGTAAAACCATTCCGGAGTCAACTCCTTCAAATCTGTGTAATCTGTGAGGCAGTTGTTCCAAGTCTCGGCCACGGAATGAAACAAACGGTCCGCGTGGTCAAACTTGCCTCCCTGGATGCTCAGTGCGTAAGATGTAAAAGGTTCCAAGCGGACAAGATAGTAAAGCACTGCACCGATGTTCGAGTAGTGCGTTCCATACCTGTAATCAACCAACAAAAGCGACATTACATTAGTCCAATGAGCAAAGCCTAGTCCGTAGTGGGTTGGACTCACATAAACTTAGGGATGTCAGGGTCTTCAAACGCATTGTAGCGGTCCACATAGAACTTCAGACGGCTTGGTTCCAAGGCTCCCATGGGCTTGGACAAGTCCCTGTACGCTCCCCTTCGACTGAGGTCCAGTGTTGCCGATTCGTAATCGGAGATGATCCAGGGGAAGACAGGGTATTGTGTCAGATCGTTGTACGTTCGACCAGCGATCGTATTCAACCACATGATATACTCAAAGGTGGAGATTTCGTGCTGTATCCAGCGGGTGCTCATAGGAGAATTACGAAACAAACTGCTCGGATGACGCAGCCGTCGGACGCTCGGATCTCGTTTCAGCAAAAGCGGTCTACGCGTCATCAGTGCTTCGTGGAACAGCACCACATCCTCCGACCCCAGATTAAAAAAGTAGTTTTTCCTTGTGGATTGGATGAACAATTCCAGCGCCGTCGGCTTGAGCAAATACCGTCGACGGTACATTCCCACAATGTCATCAATCTTCCATCGACGCCGTTTGAAGAGAAATCTCCATGCTTTGTCCACAGGCATCCCAGGCTTCTTCTCGACAACGACAGTATCGTGTTCGTCAACCACCCGTTCAGCCACAAACCGAAGAGAGGAATTGGATAACATCAGCTTGCCTTCCACAACATGTAAATGGCGTACGAGCTGAGCATTAACCTGAAAGTCAACCTTCGACGTTGTGTTCGCACGTTTCGCTCCTCCTTCATGGCCTTGTCGAGCATTTCTGGTATAAGACGATGATGGAAACAGCTCTGGAGGACATTCGTCCGTTTTATCAGACGCAAGCTTGGTTTCCATCATTTTAAGAGACGACGGAGTGAGTTCCAAGGACGGAATGTCCGAAGCAGCCATCCTATTACTTCCTGGCGTGGTATCAATGTATGTCGATACTTCTTGTATCAACGCTTGTGCTTCTTCTGACACCACGTCCTTCGTCGTATAAAGAGAGTCCACACCGTACTCGACAACGTCTTTGGCATCTTTAACTGATAGCTGGAAGTAACCCGCGACTCCGCCAACTACCGTCAACACAGACGCTCCCAAGGAAAACGCACTAGTGGACGGGGAAGCTTTTAGCGAAGCAACAGGTGATGGAGATGAAGAGGCTTCAACCGCCTCAGGAATGGCAATCGGATTCGCAGACGACTGAGTTGCATCGCATACAGACGCTTCAACTTGACTGGATGGCGCTACTTTCGCCACGTTCCTGACTGCAGAGGCTTCATCTTCCAGCTCTTTTTGCAGCGATCCATTCGAGAGTTGAGATAAATCTTCATCTTCCTCAGCACCGTAGAAATCCATACTTTCAAGTTCCAGATCATCGTCGGAGACTCCACCATATGCACTTTCATATTCTTCAGGGTTGGATAGAGATCGAATTATAGCCGCTCGCATCTGAGCGTCAGCGAGGAAATCGCTATAATCCGACCCTGCATCGCTTCGCCAGCTATGATCCAAATCGACCAATCCTCCTTCAATTGACCCACGAAATCGCCGGCCAAGTCGCTTACCGCTTTCTTTGCTTTCCGTATCCGACGCAGGGTACTCGCAACTCAAGTTTCTAGCGCGATAATTTTCAGTCACCTTCTTTAATTGAAGACGCATACGAAAGTTGTTCTCCCTTGAATCAATCTTGAGAATAAACCCATCGCCACCAAGTCGACTTTTACGTTCCTCACCCGAATTAGTAGACGTTTGCCCTTCTCCAACCTGCGAAACTTGACTTTCATGACTTGAATAAGCGAGGAGTTTGTGCACACTGCTCGCAAACTTCTCGGTGCTACGTTTCAGTTCGACAACACGTGACTCGCCCGTCGAGTCCTGCTCGTTCGCACGAGCAGCTTCCGCAGCTTCGTCCTCATCTGTGATCTCCTTCCACCGGATCTCACACTGCTGTAGTTCATCGCCTAACACTTCCGCTTGTGAGCTGGCATACTGCTGAATGAGATACGGATTGAACGCCATAGTGTGGTGCTCCATAATGTACATCCAGCGTCGTATAAAGTCGGCGTTTTCTTCATCAGCGTAACCTTGGATAGCTGCTGGGTCACAGCAATTCTGGTGATTCTCACGATGAAGTTCCCACAACATGAATAGCTCTCGAAACTGAGATAAATCGCTGTAGAAGGACAGGTCTGTTGACGACATAATCTGCAACGTTTTCGTTAGCTCCGGCTTCGCACTGGGATCACGCAGATGCAGCGCTGTATTAGCGAGTGCCACCATAATCTTAATGAGTAAACGGACAGTCTCAATATCGTCTCCTTTGAGCGACCCTTCCACTAGCGCAAAGCAGGCATCCAGTGCATACAACTGGACCACTTCTCTGTCGAGTGTCGAGGCCTGTGAAGCAGCGAAAAACTTGGACGAGTCTGCTATTCCAGATAGCGGCAGCGAGAGCCCCATGTCGGGTAGTGCCGATCCTGATACCGGTGGCGACAGTACTCCAGGCGAGGATGACCCCGACAGTGGTGACAGTGGCCCACTAAACCGTAGAGAAGCTGTTGCTACTGGCAACGAAGCGATAAGTTTCAGCACTTCGAGCACGTTATGGAACTTCTCAACTAGTTCCACATCACTTGTACCGCTGGTCTGAGCGAGCGTCACATACTGGACAGCCACCTGTAAAGCCAAGACCATGGCTTGAGATCTTGAAGCCACGAGATGAGTAAATATTTCTATCTCTTCGGACGTAACTCCAGATCCGTAGTCAGTGTTCTGGACCAAGTTGGCTACCAGGCCGTCCCAGTTGATTCGACTCAAGTGAGGCAGCACGATTTGCCATAGCTCGAATGCTTTGCGACTGAGAATTGCCTGCTGACCTGGTGACAAAATGGCATCGTTGATCCCAAGCATTTCGCTCATTTTGGTGGCCACCAGCGAGCTCTGAGAGACCACAGCGGCGACTTGACAGAGATTCTCCCAGAAGATTTCAGAATGAGACGTCGACAGCTTTTGACTTGCTTGACGCACAGCATTCTCGTAAATGACAGCCGTCAGACTGCAGAAAACGGATGGCGTTCGGCAATGGCAGAAATAAAACTCCAGGAAATGCATC